AAAGCCTCCGTAATCAAAACAGCCTGTTACTGGCACAAGAACAGGCGTATAGATCAATGGAACAGATTAGAGAACCTAGAAGCCGACCCAAGCCATTATGCTCAATTAATATCTGACAAAAGAGGCAAGAGCATACAATGGAGTCAAGAGAGTCTCGGGTTGGGGGGCGGGAAGGGGTTAGAGATCAACCGAAGGACTTGTATGCATGCATATAAGCATAACCAATGGACATAAGACACTGGGGGGTAGGGAAGGTCGGGGGAATGTCAAAGGGGGGAAAAAGGAGACATATGTAATACTCTTTGTAATACTTTAAGCAATAAAAAAGTCATAATAAAAAAATAAAAAGAAATCTAAACTATACTCATGTGAAAACAATATTGCATTGATGATATTGCAAGAGGAAAAAGAATAAATCCCACATTCATCAAAATGTAGATGTGAAGGTTGTTGCTTAGCCCATGGGAGGCAAGAGGCTTAAAGGGTATATTTCCTTCCAAGGCAATCGTGCTGAGATTCTCCTGAGGTTAGCTTATTATACCCTGGTGGTATATAAGCATGCACACCTTGCTAAAGCATGCACACCATACACTTGCACAGTGACCTGAAACAAAGGACATCTCACATCTCGGCACCCATTGCCACCATGACTCTGAAAGGCTTGGGAGGCTTGGAGGACCTGAAATTGATCCATCCATTTATATACACATACACTTAAGTGCCATCCTTGAGCCAAAACTCGAGAGTGAGAATTGTTCTCCTGGAGAATTACTTGCAGCTAAGGGGCCATTCCAGCCATTTATATTCTATTCAGCAATGGAAGAAGATGCCCAATGAGTGCAATTTGGTAATTAAGAGAGGTAAACTTTTATGTGTGCTGTTGACCTTACCACATAGTGGTCTCTCAAAGGTGATTCACAAGAGAAAACACTCAAGTCTAAGACCCAGGAACAGTAGATCCAGCTGAGCAACCTGGTTTTTTATCTTCTAGACACTTTGAATCATGTAATTCATTAGTGTTTCTCTCTTTAGCATGGCTACCAGTACACTTAGACCCAAAGTGGTTCCCTTTGTAAATACTTTTAGCAAATGTATGGAATGTTAACAACATACATTTTGTATACAATTTTAACCTTGGCTTCATCTTATTTTTCTAACCTGTATCTTCCCTTTGCTCTAAATTTCCTCCCTCCAGTTTTGGTTTTCATATTTTTTAAAAGATGTTTCAAATACTTTTGGAATGAGGTGAAATATTAAATATATAAATAACTATAGTACAAATACAGAAAAGTTATAACTTTTCAATGAATTGATTCTATAGCCTACCTTCAATAAGGTGAAATACCAAGTACATAAATAACTATAGTATACTCAAAACGCAGAATACTACCTTCTCTATTAACTGGTCCCTCAGCCTACTTTAAATGGGGTGAAATATTAAATATATAAATAAGTATATGGTACTCAGTATCTAAGTGCAGAAAAGCTATACCTTTTCTTATTAACTATTTTTATAGCCTACCTTCAATATATTTAATCTATTAAATACACACATAACTATTAAATGCACAGGTAACTATAGTATACTTGGTATAAAAGCAAAAAGTATGTAACTTCTCCTTAAACTAATCCCATAGCTCACCTTCAGGGTTTTCAGAGTTAGCATGATAATATTGGGTCTAATGCATCATCTTTAGATATAGGCTCCATCTATTCCAGATTAAGATCGTTACATATTGATATTGCTTGTGGTGTTAATGTTTTGCAGTAAGTAAAACAAATGCAAAAATCATATCAGAAATGGGGTTTTTATTACCTTATTTAGAAATTACTACTCCCAGAGTCATTAATAGAAAACCAAGCTATCACTTTAACCTTTAAGATTTTTTTTAAGTTCTCATCGAAGCACATGTGCAAGTGGTAATTGTGGGGTTCATTTCTTAGGATTCCCTGAAGAATAACATGCAGAGGTCCAGTTTCCCCATCTAGAAAATGGTAACATCTCATGGCATTGGGTTAAAAATTCATCTTTGGTACCACAAACGTGAAGAAACAGAATTGCTCACTTAGGAGCCACCAGTTCTGCAGAGAGCTCCACAGTATTTTCTTTAGCCAATGACAGGGTCATTTGTCATGTAGCATCTCATGTCACTGCTCCTTCTTATTCTCTGGGTGATGCTGATAATGGCAAGCTTTGGACAACTCTGGATAATTGCATAAGTAAATGAAAATATAATTTTATTTTTCTTTGAGTTATTAATGTCATCTTTGGACTAGAAAAAGTAAGGAAGTCTTACAGACCACCTTAACAACTCTGACACAGTATCTAAATCAAACAAAACAAAAGATCAAATGCCCCATTTTGCTGACTAAACTCACTTCATTCAAGAAGAACTAGAAAGCTTCATGACTATAAGCACCAATCCCACTTTTAATTTCCTTTGAGTAAATCAGAAATGGCTAACAGGAAAGGGGGCTTTGGTCTCAGAGCTAAGTTATGTATCTTTAGATTCTGGTTCCCAGATGGACAGTTGGTGAGGCCTGGAAAACTTGACAGTGAGGACTGGAGTACACAGGGAGATCTCTCAAGTGACAACATAAACCTATGCTCCCTTCACTAACATTGCTTTCAAGGAGTTCCTTGACAGTGCATAAATCTGGTGGTCACAGAGCAGAGGAACTGTGCTAGTAGTCTTCTGAAGGTCCACCGAAAAGCACATGGAAAGGTGTGAAGAGGGCAGATGTGAGAAGGGGCAGATAGGAAACCAGGCAGATAAACTTGAGCTCAAAACACACTGGACTTCATTAAGGCTCACTGTTCATTCTATGAACATTTGGCTGGGTGCCTGCCTGCTGAGCACCAGGCACTGTGCTGTAGGGGTGGCCTTGCCCTCATAGGAGAACTAACGCAGGCACAGAGGAATAGTTAAAAGAGTTCAGATGAAGAGAGATGATTTTCCTGAAGAAACCTGGGAAAGGCTATAAGGAAGCTTTAGCATTTAATTGGGAGCATTGAGAATATATGCGAATCCAACCTGAGATGGGATGAGAGTAATCAAAGTAGACCAATCATCATTCCAACCAGAGCTCACTAAAAGAAGAAACCCACCTTTCTCACAACCCTTAAAATTTCACAACAGGTTGCTCTCCTGCTTCCTAGCCTCTCTTCATTCTGACCTACACACTACACTATTAGGATAACTGCTGCCAACAATAAACATAACCACAGCAACGGCAACTTCCAATAGGTCTCCTCTACAAACCTAAGTGAGGTGAAGCTTAGCACCCCGGTTCCCAGTTCCCCACAATCAAATGCCACCTTTACCTTTCCAACTTCGCAAATCACTGGATCCTTTTAGGACACACCCTAGACCAGCTGTGGGCAAACTACAGCCCGCGGGCCAGATACAGCCCATTTGAAATGAATAAAACTAAAACTAAAAAAAAAAAAAAAAAAAAAAGACCGTACCCTTTTATGTAATGATGTTTACTTTGAATTTATATTAGTTCACACAAACACTCCATCCATGCTTTTGTTCCGGCCCTCCGGTCCAGTTTAAGAACCCATTGTGGCCCTCGAGTCAAAAAGTTTGCCCACCCCTGCCCTAGACACTACTGAGCAACTGGATGCTTCAATACAACAGCAGTGGGAGAGCGTATATATCTTGGTGCATGCATTCCGCCTCTCTCTGGTCAGCCCAACTCCTGTTTCTGTCGGACCCATTCATTCAGCCATTATTCACTGACTGAGCCCCAGCGACATGCCAGGCACCAACCACCCAAACACAAAGCACCCAACTCACTAAGAGCAAGTATTTCACACACGTTACCGACAATTTTATTAACAAACCTATAGATTTAGTTAATTCAACTATGTAACCTTAAAGTTATTTAATATTTTAAAACTTAAAGTGCCAAAAACAATCCAATAGCCATGCACGTATCAATTTAACAGTTGTTAATATTTTGTCATGTTTGCTCCAAATGGCAATTTTAATAAAGCCTAATTCCTCATAGCTTCCTCCTCCCTTACTCCCTAGAGGTACCACTATCTTAAACTGGTGTCATTCCAAAATATTTTTGCTTTAGTACTAGTCATGCATACATTCATAAATAATAGCAAACATTGTTTAAATATTATACAATATTGTAATATATTAAGACATTTTTGAAAGCTAACTAAATGTTATCATTTAAAATATTTCCTAATTTAAAAAAAAATCAATACCAGGCTTCCAGAGCTAGTTAGCTTTACCAATAATTAGCAATTAATTGTGAAAAGCATCCATTAACTGTATCTACACATGAGAAACCAAATTTCTAAATGTAGCATCATAGCCTTTTGCTACTAAAGCTTCCCAATGTCATATAAAACATATCAAGCACAGGACTGAAGTATAATCAATACTACAGAGGCTCCTCAAAATTAGAATAAATTGACATTCTTGGTGTCAAATTCAGGAAAGAAGTTCATGGTGACAACACTAACAGAATCATTTGCTGCACCCAGGACAACTTAATAAGACGTGTGACCTGAAGGTGTGTAGAAAACGTGAGCCTTTGGCCCTGTACCTGGTGCTGGCGATGCTTGGTGACTCTGCTCCAAGCCTACATCTTTCTAGCTGACTGGCAACAATCTGCCTTTCCACCTCCAGTTCTCGGGTGAGTCGCTGAAACTGAAGCTCCTGTGATTCAAGAAAATAAAAGGCACATAAGGGATTGAGGTTTGCTGCTCAGGCAGATATATGAATTAAAGTATGTCACAGGAAACATAGGAACATCCATTACGTAACACTATACTATGGCTGTGTGAAATTAGCATTTTTGATGGAATTGTGAGCCTAATAAGCTACTGATCTGTAGCTTTTTCAAACTTAAAGGCACTAGACTATTAGCCTTTGTTTGGGATCAACAACACGTCAATATTTGTTTTTACTTTTTTGGGTGCTCACAGAGGTCTCAAGCAGCACTTCTCCTCCTGAGCTGTATTAAACATCAGGGTTGCAGGGTCCTTACTTGATGTGTCTACAACCAGGCTCAGCAACCAATACAAGCTCTTCCTCCTCAATTGCTTATTTTTACAGTCCTCATGCTGTATGTTAGCACAGCGTTAAAAAACGTAAATTCCCATTATAAGAATCACTTTCCCATGTTTGAGAAAAGCCTTTAATTATTAAGGAAAAAAACACACAAAAAACAATTCCAGTCCCAGAGAAAAAAGTCTTGCTATATTTCTCTACAATATAAGCAACAAACTTTTTTATTGCCTACAAATGTATTCATGAGTCACTGCATGAAGGGGATGGAAAAAAAGTCTAAGCAATAATGTAGAATTTAAAACTATATTAAAAGCTGGAAACACTGTCAGAAGAAAATAGATTCTTCATTCTGTGTTTCATCATGAGGGCAAGGAAGTTCTATTATAGGAGGAAACATTTTAAATTTTTGGGGTTACTTATCTCGTTGTTACCTTGACAGTATTTTAATAAATAGAAAGTATGCCATGCTATATACAACATAATACACAACAAATCAAGTATGCTGCAAAGGCTTCAAAGCCACAAACAACATCGTGGGTAACACCTCAAGCTCCCCTTTGCCACATTATCTCCTTGTAAGTCTACCCAAAGTAAATGCTGCAGGTGTATGTTGTTTAATTGGACAATGACTGCTAGTTCAAAATACCAGGCGCATAGAGCCTATACCTAGAAACTAATCAGAAACAGAACTACCTGAAATATCATTTATGACAATACGTCAAGTATCTGTTAGCCATGCAAAAATAAAAATTAATTGAAAAGTATACTATTGAGTCCCTCTGGAATCAGGAAAACGTGCAACTACTTGACAGCTCTGGCTTTGCAAATTCTATAAACTCTTCTAAGAATCATTTTTAAGAAACAGTTCCTGAGCTCCTCATTGCTTGCTGATCATGAGATTCCTTTTCTAATGAGCCAATTGGTGTGGGTGTATAGAGTGTGGCCTGAATAAAAGTTGATTCCATAATGCTGTACAATATGATCATAGTGGGTAAGTGGGATATTGCCTACCTCTGCCTAAGTATTCCTAGTTCTTAATAAATGTCCAGCCACAAAAGACCAGACAGATAATAATGTATAACATTCAATATCAGGCTAAAATCATGGATTTTAAGGACAAATTGTATTGTTTACTTCACATTTAGTCTTTCTTTATCCGTAAGTAGTATATTTTTGGGTGACATGCTGCTACCCTTTCAATTATTTGACTTTGTTTATTATGCACCTCTTTTCCTGGCTACTTGTATCAAGCTAGACCAGGCAAGGACCGTCCGTGAATCACAAAATAGTCCTTGAGACATCACATGACTCTGTGTTCTCAGTTCAGTGGCTACTAGAGCACAGTCGCCAACCTTTCGGACCTCACGGACCACCAGTGGTCCACGGGCCACCGGTTGGCGACCGCTGTACTTGGGAACGAAGGTTAGAGTGTTTCCCACATTTTGGGATGGATAAAAGTTGCCAGAGTTAAGATTAAGGTATGTTTTGTCAAATTAGGACACAAAAATCCATTTTAATAGATTTTTATCATGTTTGTGGCTGCCTAAGAGCTTTTGAGCATCCTTTTCAGAAAACAGTTGGGGAGTTTCCTGCTTGAAGGAACCAGCTGAAACCACTGTCCACATAATTTCTTCCTTCAGAAGCAAAGACAGGTGAGTTTGGCTTTGCCAAGATGCTAGACTGTGACTCAGGCGCTCAAATCGACTTTGATATCGGAAAATACAAAAAGCTCACTTTCTTTCTCTTTCACTTCCTTACTACACTCCCTGCAATAGGTCCCAAGGTCACACTCCTAAAAAGGATATGGCCTTCACTCAAACTAAGTCTATGCTTGGGTGGGGCGGTATTAGTGGCTTCCTTATCTGACCGATTTTGTGACACAGGTTTGGACACTGTTCTTGGAAGCTGAGTCTCAAGACTATTCCAGGCTTTGCAACAAATCTGGGAATTCACTAATACCCACTTCATAAATGCCCTTCTGCACGATTAGCCATGGCAGTCTCTGTTTCTTGCAACTAGAGACCCTGACAGACACTATTTACAGTCATTAAGTTATGTACCTAAGAGAGCCTATGTACCTATGGCATAGCTACATTTTTAAATTTAAAAGATGGGTAATTCCTTTAACATTCATATGGAATGAGTAAAGTCCACAGTATATTCCTATTATTCAATATTAGGGAGCCCATAATATTGAATACCACTGGCTACAGTGATCAAAACTATCCTGCTCATTATTTGCTCACACATCTCACAAGGAGGACGTCATTAAGGCCCTGAAAGAGAACATCAAGAAGCTATGAAGCATGCCATTTGTTATGATTACCGAATACCTGTGAATATTTATGTACAGCTAAAATATGTAAATGCTTTGTTGCACAATTATTAATATTACAACTACAGAATATAAACTGAATGCTCATGTATGACTGGGACCAAGATGGATAAATAGAATATATAAATATTTGATAGTTTTGTGTACACTGGCTTCTAAGATTGACTGATAAGACAGTACGACAGTCATATAAAAACACATGTAATGATTTCCAAGGCTGATCCCCAAACTGGGCATCTTTTGCTCTTTGAGAATAGCAAATTAAATAATGTTAAAAGCATGGATCAACAATTTAGAATATGATAATTTCCTCTTAAATTCTGGCAAACAAGACCATCAACAAGCTTAGATGGAAACTTAAGGCTACTAATCTATAATAGTAAAAGCATAATATGTTAATTAGACTGGACATCCTTCTGGATGTCTTTCTGGACGAAGCCGGGGCTGCAAGGGAAGCTCAGGTCCCGAGTGCCACAGGGAAGCCAGTGCCAGCAGCTGGGGGAAGGCCTACTCTTGCATGAATTTCATGCACTGGGCATCTAGTGTGCTATAAAAATGGAGTCAGTTCACATTTGAAAGCTTTTCTTTACTTGTACCTCATGACTTATGTAAATATACTATTAAATATTGTCTGAGGATCATGAGAATAGAAGAAAAAGCTTCACTTTCATGACCTTGTACGGTGGACAGGGCTGCACTGCCCATGAAAGCCCAAGGAAGAATGTGCTGCCCCAGCTGTGAGCTACTCCAGGGGTGCCTCAGCTGCAGGGAACAGCCTTGACTAAGGGCGCACCCTCCTGGGTAGGTTGCATCCAGCCCCTGACTGAGGTGGGAATATAAAGGCTGGGCACAGATTTACTGGTGAGCTTGGACGTGGCCAGCCTGTGTAGTCCCTGGACTTCTTCCCTGCCCCTCTGCTTTTTGTTCCCCTCTCCATCTCAATGAGAACCCAAACTGAGAAAGTGCGCGTTTCTGGCTTCCTTTTATATAATGCTAGACATGTTCTCTCATATTTTTTTATATTGTGAAATACTTCAAATATACAAAAAGTACAGTCAATAACACAATGAGCTTTGGAGAACTTGACGCAGCATAGCATATCTTAATATTTTGCTACATTTGCTTCAGATTTTGAGAAATAAAATATTAAAGATGCAGTGAAATCCCTTGGTTTCTCTCTCCTCCAATCCTACTTCTTTTTCTTCCTTCCTTCACAGTAGAAACCATACTACTCCACATTTACAGATCCATAAAGATATACAGCATTGCTTTACATGTTGATACACTTTATATCAGCGGTATACAGTACATAGTCTTCTGTAGGTTGTTTTCATTATAGTATGATTTTGATATTTAACAATATCAGTACACATAGATCTAATTTATTTCTTTTCATTACTCAACAGCCTTCTATTGTAAGACTATAGCACAATGTAGTTATATGTTCTAATCATGATGAACACTTTGGCTGCTTCCAATTTTGTGCAATAATAAGCATGTTGCAAAATAAATCTCCTTGTATAAACCATCTTGTGCACGTGCCAGACTTTTTCTTAGTGGAGATCCGGAAGTAGAACTGCTGGGTTCAAGGCTACACATATCTTCTACTCAGTTTGATAATGACCATCAAATTACTTTCCAAAGTAGTTTTACCAATTAATATTCCAGTCAACAGTGTATGAGAGTTCCAGTTTCTTCACATTCTCACTGACATTGGTTTGTATTTTGGGGCTAAAATCTCTTCCTTCTTTTGGTAATCTGATTGGCACATAATGCTATCTTGTATTTGTTTTATTTTGTATTTCCTTTGACAACCAACATCATCCACCTTTTCAATATGTTTATTGGCCATCATAGGTGTAAACTCTCAGAGAGACTTTTCCCTACGGCCAGCTCCTGGGCTTGCCCTCTTCTGTGGGACAGGTTTCTCGTCACTCTTGTGTTACCATTGTAGCTTTGTAAAGTTTTAGCTTTGGGTAAGGGATCTTCCACAAGACTCCCCACCTGGCACTGCCCTCCTGTGCCTGGCAAACGGCATCCTCAAGATCACCTGGGTTTGGCAGAAAACCTTCAAGGGGGAAAGCCAGGCTTATTGATTATTTAGTTTAGGATTCTCACTTAAAAAAAAGTTTTTATTGATGCTAGAGAGAGGGGAAGGGAGGAGAGAGAGATAGACACATCAATGAGAAACATCAACATTGATCGCCTGCCTCCTGCACGCCCTCCACAGGGGATCCAGCCAGGGCATGAGCCCTGACCTAGAATCAAACTGGTGACCTCTTGGTGCATGGTTTGATGCTCAACCACTGAG